AATGTAACGAGTTGTCACATGTAGAACGTAGAAACCATATTTATTATTATATCAATGTCACTTAAATCTCGCTCTATTAAAATAAAAGTTCCGCAGTGTAACAATTGACAAAAATAGGAACTGTCTCTCTGAAAGATTTTCTATTTTAAATTATTGTTATCTGTCAGTAGCCAGTATATTATGTAAAAAATAATATAATAAAAGAAATTATAATGTAAACTTAAAAAATAATTCTTTGTAAATACTGACTAGATATATTTCTGTCACACAGCCGATAAATTTATGATGCGATTGTTCTTAACAACTCTAGAAAACTCGTTTTTAAGTTCAATGCTGCAAACGTAGTGTTACAATATCTGTGGTATAACATAACGCATCTAATTCACGCGTAATTCTGCATAAGGCAGTTTGTACTAGATATTCTTTTATATGTGCGCATCATGAAATGTGCTCAATTTAAATACATAAAGGAACAGAATGTGGACTCCCAAATGATTTAGTTATGAATCATTGTTCTCGCAAAATATCTCGCTATGAAGAATATTCGTTGTAACAACAACTAAACTTATTACTCCAAAGGAATGTTAAATATCACATTATCAAAAGATTTTTTATTATTTGATGCACTTTCTCTTTCTTTAAATAAAATTATAGAGAAGCGGGCTTTTTTAAAACTGTCAGTTACACTGACTTAGTCAGTGAATCTTCCAAGTCAAGTTTTTTTATTCAATTTAATTAATTTTATTTTTGTTAAGCTGAAGCTGTAAAATCAGTATGACTTGTTAATAAAACGGGTTGATATGCAGTAGATATACATAAAGAACTAGTTATCATACAAACGCTCATACAACTGTATACACACACACACACACATACACACACAGAACTGAACTCAGACACACGCAAGTATAACACGATAATTTGTTAGCCTAACTAACAGTTTAGTCGGTGATGGATTGGAAGTTCTTGTATTTAATGAAATTTTATGGTTTACAAAATTAATTTGACAAAATCTTCAAAATTATTCTAGTTTAAACAAATAAATAAAAGCTATAATAATTCTATTCATACAAACTCGGAAAACTGAATGCTTCATAAATGAAAAAGTACATAAAATATAGTCTAAGCCTCTTACAATTTTAATCATATAATCTAAGTAGAAATAGCCATTTTTTGATTACAAAAATTAAAGCGCCACAATCGTTCTATTAAAAGAGGTATTTGAATAAAATATTGTTAAAACCAAATAGACATTTAAAAATGATTATTACATTCATATTGTACATTTTTACCCATTCAATGAGGAAGTATTTGAAAAAAACAAAAGCACTAAAAAAGCATCTCCACCAGATGGTAGAGTAAAATTTGATTTTTGCAGGAAACGAAAGGACCAAAGATCTCCGTTCCTTTTAACTAACATATTAAAAAACTGAAATTTGAAAAGTTCGAAACTTAGATATCAATACAAATACGAAAAAGTACAAATAGAAAATGGGTTGTTTATTGAGTTCTGAAAACTAATTTACTTTTTAACTTGAAAGAAAACCGGAAAGGTTGTCGTGGAGAAAACTAGAACGTACCGTAGCGATATCTAGTTTGATTTCGGGAACTAATGTTTTTTTTAAAATACTTCCTCATTAAATTAATAGCGTTTATATGCTTATCTTATACATATAATTCTCGTTAGCGTGCACAGGCAGTGTATTTATGGCCCACCTCAAGGTTTATTTGATTTAAATACCTAATAAATATAAATAAACAAAAACAAGATTTTTTCTTGTGAAATGTAAATTTTGATTATGCGCAAACGCACTATATATAATTTATATTAGGCCCAAAATTATGAAGTTGAAAATCTTCCATTGTAATTTATTATCTAGCAGGTGTAACCAGGAACCATCGTAGCTAACACAATGCCATTAAAAAGTTATTAGAACTCAGTTTAATCTTACTATGTCAATGGATTTCTCCTGCAATAACATTGGTTTAAAATATCGCAGAATAAATTATTATGAAACCGCAGGCAGTTTTTCATTTGAATATATTTTTAAAACAATACATAGTTATAATAAAAATAAATATTTGAGTTTAATATTTATAGTCTGTTCCTAGAGCAGTCAAAATCGACAGACAATACAATACAGATATAATTACCTCATTTTATGACACAGATATTTGCACTAAAACTATACATATCGCTTTCCACACACTTCTGTATCATTTCCGCCTAGTACTGCCTATTGTTGTACGGGGTGAAGTCAGCAGTCTATAGCGTCTTTATCCGATTTGTTGTCTGCTCTAGTAAAATACTATAAGTTCTGTTTCCATAAAACTAGAATTTCTTAGGATAATGGTATCGTCATATAGCGATATATTTTTATCTATCATAATATTTTTGGTATTAATTATTTTCAAATGGCTATATGTATGTACATGATAAATAATAACAGGGAATATGCGTCTAATTAAAAAAAAAGGTTAAATATATTTTATTACGATCATTACTGCATTAGAATAAAGTCTATGTAAACTTTTTTCATTTCACCTATTTAGTGAAGTATTGTTATTGAAGTATTTAAGTATTATTAAAAAAGTCTATTCTGCAGAAAAATTATTAGTCATTAATAGATTTGGGTCATTGAATAATAATCAATCAGTCAAAATTCATATTGATTTAAAATGTCATATCTCTAGTCTGTTACTTGACGTCACGAGAAGCGCGCCACAAAATTCCAGCGTTTAAACTGCTCGTAGTTCATCATGTTACAAAATTTAAGTATTTCGGTGTCGGGTATTTTTACATTTATATAACGATATAAATTATGAAAACATTTAAAAAAATGTACATATTCCCTATTGAACAATTACGAATTAATGTTTTTTTCTGATAATGTCAAGCTATTTAGCAGTTAGGGTACAGGTACCGTCATTGAGCGGCCGCAATTTTGTTCTAGTTCGATTCGTAATCTTGTCAGATCCTCAATAAGATAAAGATATCTCCATTCGTTTTTAAGGTTTACTCTCTTGACAGTTCAACGATTTTCAGACGTGTGCATAAATATGATCGTACATTAGTTTTTCTGCATATTTAGCAGCGTCAAACTCAGTCATTTATTCAGTCTAAGACTATTACAAGCATTTATACATGTCCAGATACATGTCGTCAATTCACGAATATATAGCGGGAAAATCCGGTAAAACTGTTACTTTTAATCTTTGATGACGCTATTATCGACGCAGAAAACGGCAACACTATCCTAGGAAACTCTATGCTCCAAAATACAAGTCCAAAGTTGTTGGGTATGAGCGCCAGATGTCTTTATCGCGAGTTGCTATCAGTCACCGAACATATTTCAGTTGTTCCAATATTCGGCACGCGGCATCATTATCGCACACTCAGTTGTACTCAGAATGTCAGGATGGGTTCCTCGCGATGGTCCAAAATGTCTGTAAAGTTACGTAATACCTTTTAACGTTTGGTCATTTAATATTACTTTCTCAAAAATAAATTACCTAGTGCTACAACATTACTAGTAACTGCTATTGCACAAGTTTTGTACAGTTAACAGCACATCAACAGGTTATACAAAACTGTTAAATGTTTCCACTTCGTGTTAGACCTAATAGGGTATTTGACACTATTAAAAATAAGTTGCGTATTGTGGTCATCCTGTTAGATAATAATCTGATGAAGTTTATTTTTTAGAATCTGCAAATAACATATGTTCAGCTTTAGTAAAATAATACATAGAAAATGCAATATTTTAAAGAATTTCAATGAACGACGAAAACAACCTGTAATTGGTTATCGTCGCAACCAATAACAGATTCTGTTTACTGGCATGTGACGTCACACATAAACCGGAAACTTTCAAAACAGAGTTATTAGAGAAACGCAAAATTTGTATTTATACATACAATTTGAAGCTCATTTTTACAAACAAAACCAGAGTAGATACAAATACAAAACATATAATTTAACTTAAAAATTTCTTCTGTAATACTATTTGTTTACTTTATAAATAAATAGTTGATAAATAGCTTATGTCGTCTTGATATATTTACCGGCATCTGACGTCACAAATACCACGTGATCAGCGCCATTTGATAGAGCAGCATTTTTTGCGCGATATTGGCTATTTAAATTTTAACAATTATTTTCATCAATAATAGAACAGATTCTCATGAAATATATTGACAGTGTGTTTATATTGTATCAAAGAACTATTTAAAATAATTTTCAGAAAAGTGTCAAATACCCTATTGCATTGAATGTAAATCTGAAAATCAACTGTGGAAATTTATAAATTGTGGTAGCTTGACGTACTGTTGAGTGTACAGTACAGTGAAAAACTGTATATAGTTCTTGTTGTTTTACGCTGAATGAGTATTTTTAGTTATTTTTTTTACAAAAACAAGTATTGTGATTAGAACTCTAGGAAATATGAAAGTGTAAAACAAAAAACATATACATCTGAAACGAACTTATAGTGTTACTAAAGCGATTTTTATACTATTTATAATATTTATTTTGATTTTCGATGTTATTCATTATATTGCTTCACGTTTACCTTTGGCAATGGCCCACCAGGGCAGGGTTAGGTATGTGAGTGAGGCAGCCAGGGGCGCGCATTGTAACCGCCGCCCCTCCTTCCACAAGTGGAAGGTCTGAGTGAAGCCGCGCATCCCCCACAACGGATTGTACGCTCCATCGTCGAGCTCTGTGAATGACATCAACACGTACGTTTTTACTATCGATGTTCATGCTATTCTACAATTACGAGACACAATATGGTACGAGTGATCTCAAGGAGTTCACTCACCATACAAGCGGGTAGATTTCGCAAATGTTAAAATAAGCCGACTTATAGCAGTACCGACTTATACAGTATCCGAACGACCACTCGATAACGTCATTAAATTGTAGAGTTCTTTTGTTAGAAGTTCGAATTTTTTATAACCTTGAAGTCTTGTTAACGTAACTCCAGTCTATCGTTCGCTTATAATTCAGCCGCTACATCGATTCCTGTTGCATCATCGGGCCGCATCATGGTGGTGTAATGGTGGTATAATGTTTATATATTAGAGATGCGCCGAATATTCGTTTGTTATTCGGTATTCGGCATATTTGCATCTTTTTTACTATTTTTATTCGACGAAATTATTCGGTTGCGGTAACGAATATATTCGGTTCGAATATTTCTATTTTTTTAATGACACTAACGGTATACTACTAAAAACCAAAACTACATAAGTAAGATTTAAGTAGTACTAGTAGTCAAAGAAATCTTACGAAGAATGTGTTCAATAAATCTAATAAAATAAAGCAATTCAACTTTAAATCACAATTTGTTTTTAAAGCTGTTTACCTGGCAAAACAATGAGATGGTAAACCGAATAGTAATCGGTTATTCGGTGAAACCACTATTCGGCGCATCTCTAGTGTATATCATACCGTGCGTCCGTGCGGCGGGTAGATCGCACCAGTAGTACACGTGCGTGCCGTCCACGGTGGCTCGGCGAGGAGGTAGTCGCGCGCCGCGGTACTGCGCCGCCGCCGCCCCCTCCGCCCTCGGCAACGTACATAGTGCCCGCGCACAGGCCCCACCCCCGCCCGCCTCCGCGCCTGCCTTCCATGCTCGCTCCCCGCTCTCTGCCGGGCCCTCCTCTTCCCCGCGCATCGTACAGGCCCCGCATGGATACCGGGAGCCGGAGGAAGGTTCGGCACCGGCCCACGCGGCCGCTTCGGCCGCTAGCTCACATTCTTCATCGACGGAAACGGTGCGGACGACACGGTCCGGCGGGCGGCGGAGAGGAAGGCGGGCGGCGGGGGTGGCAGGGCGAGCCCGGCGTGGAGACACCACGTGCAGACACGCGGGCGATGATACATCGGGTAGCGGTCGAGAGCACACCTCCCGCATGCGAGGCGGAGGGCCCGGCGGAGGCGGGGGCGGAGGGACGGGGGCGCGGCGCCCGGAGGAAGCCCGAGAGTCTGTACGAACACACGAGTACGCGTCACGGGGGCCGGTTTACTGCGGTCGTCGTCTTCCGAAAACAGAAGCTTAGAGTGGAAGCGTGGAAGAACTCGAACGCTGCGTCTAGCTGAACCCGGTCTTTACGCGTCTAATATCGTCGACTTCCGTTTCGGGCGACGACGATCTTGGCACGGGTATCGAACGCGATCGTGTCGTTTGGATTTGAACTACCGTTCTATTTTAGCGAGTGGGCTCGACGCGACGACCCTCCTGGCTTCCTCCGAGCGTCTAGCTTCCGACGGGACACGTTCGACGGTCCCGTTGGGAGACAACGGAACCGATATCGATTACGGCAATGATAGGTGACAAACGACACGAAACAATGAAGCGAACGGTAAGAATATAAATTATAGAAAGCGCACAAAAACAAAATGGTGACAGATTTCATAAACTTAATCCTTGTCACATATTTCTTCTTCGACTCAAAAGTTTTATCCGTAAATAACGAATAAATAATCGTAGATTATAGATGAAAAAAGCAACGTTCACGACTGAACGATATATAATATTTGACCTTAAATGATAATATTTATAAAAACAGCGCCATTGTATCATTGTTATCGAAATGGTACATGCAATGTAATAAGAACTACTGGATGATCGCATATCAACCGCTATAACCGGTCTTTGAATATCTCATCAGCCGAAAAAGAGTAGCGAGATGTAACACAAGGGCTCACCTGAGCGTAGATCTCCCGCCTCGACTTCAGCTAGACCGTTAACAAGTGCATCAAGTCCCTCGTTCTCAGATCGACTTTTGTCTTTAGAGTCCTTCGCGCGCCACCCGCCGCGCACGAAATTATTCAGATTAGCGCTAGGATCGCTTAGCCGTCGCTGAAATTAGATATTTCATACTTGATTATAATTTTGGAAGGAGGAAAAAGCTATTCAGGCCTTAAAAATAAACTAGGTATTATTAATGAGCTGACGTTGACATTGAAAAGTATTCCCAAAGTATCCCTAATGCGAAACTTAAACACAGTCCCATCGTCTTTTTTACCGGACTGCGCGACGCAAAGGAGGATAATGTGTTTATCAGTCTATGTATGTATGTATGTTTGTTTCTGTGTGGCGTTCTAGAGACCAAATGCGTAGGCCGATTTTGATGATTCTTACGTCAATCGTTTCGTCTTAACCTTGCAAGTGTCACTAAAGACATGACAGTAATCAAAATTCACCACAGCGACAACCAGACGCCATATTGTCAAAATGAAAAAAACTAAAATCGATGAACTATGTCTAGTGGGGTGTCCTTGAATAAGTATTTTAAAATCATCTTTAGGTTCCTTTTATCATTTTTCATAATAGTTTAGGATATATAATGATTTAAATTTGTTAACAAACGATATTAACTCCCTCAATGAAATGACTAGATTGCGAAATGGAACTAAAAAGTATAAAATGAAAATAAATAATTTAAAGAAAACCCGACTGCGTAAAAAAGAATTCGTTTTTACGCAGTCGGGTTTTTGTTTTTCTTTAAATTATTTTTTATTTTTTACTGGCCTATACTAAAAACTCACAGTGTGATCGCTAATGGGTCGCATGAAGTATGAACAAAGTTTTTATATCTACTTTTATAAACAGTGAATTTTCTCACAGACTGGTGAGATTCAATAATTGATTTATGAATCATATGTTTAATACCATTTTCCCATGCTAGTTATCAATCTTTCTTGTGATCAATTTCTATCATTTCAAAATAGAGAACCAGGTATAATTACAAATAATATTTAGAGACTGATTGTGCACAGAAAATTAACTCTAGATGTAATGCTGACCTGGTGACGATATATGAACATATCCTCAGGGTCGGTGTCCCAGTCGTCATCCCATAGATCTGTGACGGGCAGGCCAGGCTCCGAGGCTGGTGTATCGAGTCCAGACGTGTTGGGCCTAGACACAGCCATCTCAGCATGCCCCTTACCGCCTGGTCCCTTCATACGGACAAACTCGCAGCGCCCCGCTGCCTTACTGCCCAGCAAACCGAATGACATTCGCTGAGCCACTTTCGTTGATAACGACGTTTGCTGGAACACCATACGATAATGTTTTATTAATTATTACTTACTTTATAATTCACTCCTTGTTCAAAATATCTTAGAAGACAAATAAAATTTTAGTAACAAAAGTATATAATATACATTAATGTCTAAGCATTGGTTTAAACAAATATTTTGCTGGATAAATATCAGTCAACTTTATGAATTAATGGATACGCAGATTCTCATGTCACTATGTATTGACAAAGTTGCATTATTTCATCATAATAATATAAGATCCAATGATACACTTAAATATAGCAGATTTCAAATTTTGGTAGTAGATTTTCAAGTGTGTTTTGTAAATTACAAGTATAAAATAACAGTATGAAAACAAACAAATGTACAAAATTAAAAATGTTAACATTCTTAACAAGAACCACGTTCAATAATTAATCTTCCGTTCCGTTTTTTTGTAAATATATTACAAAAAAACGTATATATACACTATGTCCTTTACCAGATACAATACAACAGAAGATGGCGTAATTTGTTTTCAAAATATTCTCATGAAAAATAATAGATTTTCTTTGTTAGACAGTCAAGCTGCTGTCATTAAGCTGTTAAGGCCAACGTTGCGACACAGATGTCATCCCCATTGTACGCTAATTGCTTATTACCAGTACAACACTATCTGTTATCATAGGCCATATTGTTTAATAAAATAGTAACCAATATTAAATAACAAAATAAAACTACGACAATTAAATTATGGCATTTTAATGTGGAAACATGGTAATTAAATAATATTTTTGGTGCAATAGTGGACAGGAAGTAAGTATGCATAACAAGTTCTGTGCAATTTTTCCAGCCCAAATCAACCTTACAGCCATAACATGTATTGGGATGTTTTAGCGTAGCAATTTGTCATTTGGTACGTTACCAATTCAAATTTCAATTTTGCACCGTGTGCATGCGGAGGTTCAAAAACTGTACATACGTTTCGGTAAACCACGTGTACCACATTTATTAACAGTAAAGAACCCAATATTATATTCAACATACAACTAATATCAAGCAATATATTTAACGATATTATAATACTTAAAGACACTTACATGCGTCGGCAAAATATGAAACCATATTCTCAATGCCAACGTTACCTGAGAATTTCCTCGAATTCGTCAAGTATTGAAAGCAACAGTTTAAATAAACATAAAGTCCCGGTTAACGAGGGCGTCGCGTCGTCTTTACCAGTCGTGGGTCGACAACACTGTATCGTAAATATAAACGGTTGCCACTACAGGTTTACTACGATCGTATGCGAGTCACAACGGCACGATATATTTTTAAATAATGGTTTTGTTTTAGGCGGGACGCGTGCGTGTGTTCGATGTGCCCGCGCGTGCCCGTTTATAAATATCACCGGTGACACTGTGGACTTGAACTTGATCTGAGTATTCAGACATATGCACTTCTCATTCGGTATATCTATTACATATTAATAGATACACAACTTTGAAAAATTTTAAGATTGATTAAGGAATATGGTGGTGATTGATATTAAGTTTTAATTATGAAGCGTCAGGTAAAAACGGGGAACTAGCATTTTCATTAAGCGAGTTAAGAGTGTTTTGTCCCACATTTCATTAGGCTACGCATCACGAAGTGGAAATGCCTTAAAATATTCGATTCGGGGGATGTAACATGACGCGCGGCCCAGTTTCAACTGAAACGGAAACATCGCCCACGCTTACACGTCGGACGCTGACCTCTACTAATACAGGCAATAGTCATTGTAACCCAGTTACGGCGGACTTAACACAGACCAATATTCACTATAGACTATATTAAGTAATAAAAGTTTTCTTTTATGAATTATGCACTATTAGTACTAAAGTATTGATATTTATTAATTTTATGTTAAAGAAACAAAAATTATACGTAAGCATAGATTGCTATTTTTGTTTCACACAAAAACTTTAAAGATTTAATTCACGGGTATATCAGTTATACATAAGATAAACATATGCTCGTACACCAACATAGATACCAGTCGAATACTCCTTTTTCATATTTTAAGAAGTCGTTAAAAAGTTAATTCGTAGATTTTATAAAAATATATAGTAATGTAAGAAGGGAAAGGGGTCATGCCAACACATTCGTTATCCCTAACAAGCAATTGACTTGTTAAAGATAACGTGTCCACATTTGGTTAGGGCAGGCTGCACCATATGGTAGCAGCATAATGAATCGTAACTGCCCCCCTTTCCCACCCGCGCCTCACGAGAGGCACGAGGCAACTAGGCGTGGCGCCACCTCCTGCCCTCACCCTCGCCCTGACTCCACCAAGAGAAGACGATATCAACAAGTCACCGCCGTCTCGACGGCGCCAACTCGAGAGCTAGTGTACTTAAAAGGCTACCAACGTTTTATTTCTATACATTAGCACTTTTACAACAAGATGTCAATAGACTGCCGATGCCGGTTGGATTGATAGCAAGCGATTACCAAATGTATACCTATGTTTTATTTAAAATAGATGTTTTGCCGCCTGAGCAAATTATAACCTATGCCTCCCGCGTAAGACGTTTAATTTTCAAATCGCCGTAGTTGTTCCGGATGCTATTCAATGCAAACAATCAAATCTTTCCACTTTATAAAGATAATAACCAGTTTACGTGTCAAAATTCATATTTACTTCTTTTAAAAATGCTTCTTGGGTATTTTAAATTAAAATTTGATAATCGTTTACCTACCACCCACATACTCAGTTGTATGTATAATCCAACTTAAGTTTTAACCTTGCTTATAAGTTTTGCACAGATTTAAGGACACACTTATTATATTCCGTTCGTGATGGATAATGTATGCAACCCTCTTAATCTAGGACATCGAAAAGGTCAGGCGTACAGAAACAGCGAGCTACAAGGCACCCGGGAGTCAAAGTTCGCCCTAGTTATGCAGCCACCCTCACCAGGGGTGAATATGTCTTGAGGAAATCATTTATTTAACTTTACAGAAAACGTTTTAAACTGATAGAATATTTAATTGTATAATAAACTAACCGTTTTGCCCGCTACTTTGCAGGCGTAAATTATAGACTTCATGTCACCCTCTATGATGTAGCTTCTAGTAGGTGAAAAAATTATCATGATCAGCTCAGTATTTCCGAAGATTACCACTTACAAACAAACAAACTTTACCTCTTTATAATATTATAGTACAAATAAATAATTAAATTCAAAAACATTTCTTTTTATGATCCTTTGTGATCAATTGCAGCTCATTTCAACTAAATAACAATAACTCGTATTATTTATTATTTTTATTTATTAAGGAAAATACATTGTTAATAAATTATAAATATAAAGAATATATATTATATGCTGTCCAATTTTAGCTAGCAGCCTTACAATCGAGTGCACGTTGGCGAATGGTAACGTGGGTGGTACAAATGCCATCCCAGACAATCATTTTCACCCTTATGCAAATGTAATAATTATGATAACATAATCGCACTTTCGAGTTCCAGACTAATTTGTTATATAAAAAAATCCGTCAAACTCTCAGCTACGATGACTCATTTTAGAGCTTGGTATGGTAACTTCGTAATTTCCATTTTTAGAATTCTATCATCAAGATAATTTTATAATTTTTAAAAGGGCCACTTTTGGTGCCGTTACATATTTTATGTAGTTTTTTCTTGTTTCGACGTTTTTTTTACCAAAATCAAAGTTTAATTTTGGGTATACGCGTCTTAATATTACACGACACGCGAGTCTCATTCCTAATTAACATGTTTATACTCTAATGATCTCAGACGTGCAAAAAAATTATTATAGCATTGTGATTATATCATAAATGCTAATGAAAATGCGGAGCAAGTGTCGCGTAGATACCTTTTATTACAAAAAATTAAAACCACTTTTGTACACACTACAACAATAAGGTACTACGAAATCGGACTTTGGATAATCTGAAAGATGATGAAAAGACATGAAAGTCGTAAACCGTAATTTATACCGTATGAATGGTATCTAAATAACTTTGATATACCCTGTACTGTGAAAATTTTTTAAAAGGCAGCAAATTAACTTTTATGCTCGTAGAAACATACATTGGGTGACAACTTAGTATAGTCTTATTATTTTCAGTGTTGCCAACTGCGTATCCTGTTTGGATCGAGAAGTCTGTTATAACAATAACTCGTTAATAATACACTAGCCCTTTAGGAGGACACTAATACACCGTTGGTCCCGCTGCATCTGATGTCGTTAGCACATACTACTAATCCACGCAAGGACTGCGTGGGTGTGTTTATAGCTCATTTTGCCGTGTTTCTTCTCATGTAGAAGACCTGTGCCGCAAAAATGGGGACATTAATAGGCTGATAATAACAATTCCTTGTTAAGTGAATAGGTACTTCATTACTTTTGATCTAGATAGATTTTATAATTTCCAATAATTCTGTCATCAAACAGCCCAATTGTTTAGTGTATAAAAAATGTAAATTTATTGTGAAAAGATATTATATCATAGAAAAAAGATAATAAACATATTTAGTGCATAGGGCCATACGGCTCCTAGTACATACATTCTAGGAGCCTGATGGTAACTTGGAACTGACGTCACTCACCCGCTAAGTTTAGTATACAATCGATAGGTGGGACATTAAACTGTACCGTAAGCACAGAGCAAACTCATTACATAGCTTTCTATGTAACCCTAATCCAATTTCGTACATAATAATATATACCTACATTACAAAGATAAGCATCGCTCAAATAGGTAAAATTTTGTGTGTTTATCTATTACAGCTGAGAGACACAATGTCAAAACATGATAATGATAAACAACCAGTCATGTGAGAGTCGCACACACAGGTTATTTTCTTCTAAAACTCTTTGTTTTATTCACAGTTCAAAATAATTATTATATGTTAATACAATTATTAATATAGCAATCTGGAAAATCACAATATTGTTAGAGGCACCTGGGGCTTACTAAGTTTATTGTAAAATTCTCTATTGTTGTTTACGGATGAAAATATAAAATTTTTCATACTTTGTAGTTGTATAAACATAATTAAAATACAGTACGATAGAGTATCCTATTAATATATTAAATGTGAAAGTTTCTTTGTTTGGATGTTTAGATGTTTGTCCATCAATCACGCAGAAACTACTAAACGGATTTTGATGAAATTTGGTATACAGATAGGGTATTAGCTGACTTAGATAATTGGATACTTTTTATCCCACTAAACATTTCCCTAGGGACCACGCGGCCGCTGGCGAAAGCTAGTAATAAAATACGGTTCAGAAACCTAAACAAAAATATCAATTTAAAAACACACGAACAACCATCACGCTCAGCTCTACCGACCGCAGTAATGTCGTTAGCTTACTTATTTTTAATTATCTTAACTTTGGCGAACCATTTGCTATTTAGCTACACACAAGATGAGTTCACGTCGATGTTATGTTAATTTAACATTCAACACAAATTTACGAACAATAGGAAAACCAAACCTTTCAAGTTTTAGCAATCAATCGCAACATCCGACCTATGTGAATTATCAAACTTATGATATTTTTGGATTAAAATAACGTGGGGTATTGAAACAAAAAACACAATGCAGATAAAATTATAACTTTGTTAAGTGTGCTCCGCAAGCCCCTTTTTTAATGCAACCTTACCACAGGGGAAATGCAACCTTAATTAAGCCTTAAACCGTTGCTCCCGTACCCCGCACCAGTCCAGAAAAGGACATGCTTAAGCGAGGCCGGCCTATCTAGTAAAACTCACTGCAAGTACCCTCCGGGGGGAAAGACCCGGATTCCGGCATGGAGCCCGCCGGGTCCATTTCCACAATAATATTGGTTATATTTCATGTTTTAAGGTTATATGGTTTCCAAAAGGGTTCTATCAAAAAAAAAATTGAGAATTGCTGATCTAGTAAAATAAATGATACTGTGTGTACTAACTAACACGATTACTATTTTATTATATAAGGTTATTTTATTATATTGGCTAGAATCATACCACAGTAATATGCGATTATACAATGAATAAATTAATCTTAAGCGAGTATTAACAAATCATGCGCTAAAAATGACAAATCTACTTACTACTCGGTAAGTGCAAAGATATGTACCTATTAACTTATGTTGTAAGTTGTTTATTTTATTATTTCAAATCTCTGCCAGGATTACCAAGCATCATTTTATGATAGAAAAACGTCTTTGTGACCAAACCGAACAAATACATAGAACAACGTCTTTGTGACTAAACCGAACAAATACAAGAACGCCACAAAACCTGTTTCGTTTAACGAGTGAGACTACATGCCATTTTAATGTCGTGATTTGGACAATGCGCACTTTGGCTTCCATGTTTTATTTACTTACTACAGTATTTATCAACTTCTATACTAATATTATAAATGCGAAAGTAACTCTGTCTGTCTGTTACTTAATCACGCCTAAACCACTGAACCAATTTGCATGAAATTTGGTATGGAGATATTTTAATACCCAAGAAAGGACATAGGCTACTTTTTACCGCGGTAAAATGACGCATTCCCAAGGGAAAATAATCTAAATATATATAACTCAAAGGTGACCGACTGACATAGTGTTCTATCAACGCACAGCCCAAACCACTGGACGGATCGGGCTGAAATTTGGCATACAGGTAGATGTTATGACGTAGGCATCCGCCAAGAAAGGATTTTGATCAATTCTATCCCCAAGGGGATGAATAGGGGATGAAAATTTGTATGAAACTTTGTCAATTTTAAGGGCTGAGACTTTGCATGCATAAAGCTACTATGACGTAAGCATCCCCTAAAAAAGGGTTTTGATAAATTCCACCTCTAAGGGCATAAGCTAAGAGGATAAGACTTTTTTTCAGGCATTTTACACGATATAATTAATAAATATTCGTTAAAAATGCTGCTCAAAGTAACTTTACCACGCGGACGAAGTCGCGGGCAAAAGCTAGTGCTCAGATATACGGAAAACCTAAAGATAATAAAAGGTATACAGATAATATATGAATGGAGGTTGTAAGATTAGATTCAACCTCAAAACACAATAGGTTGCTAATTTATTGCCTACATAAAGGTATAGTATTACAACATGTGATAGAAGGTAATAAAATTTCCGTCGAACAACTTATTTATTACATTATTGCATTCTATATTTCATTTCACACGAGCATTGGAGGAGCACGTGACAAGTCACATAATAAAATCGGAGCTATGACAATGAAAAAATAATTTATGCATTAAAAAACCAAGGGTTTTCACTAAATTAGCTTTTTTACTTATATTATACTAGCTGTTATTCCGCGACTTCGCCCGTGTAAATTGTATGTCCTATGTCACTAGCGTAGGATATAGTTTCCTGTAAGAGAAATAATTTTTCATATTGGTCCAGTAACTACAGAACCTATTCTATAAACAAATAACGAAACATTGAAATTGTCCCTCTTTTTAATAAATAATAGAAATTTAAAATCTAAATTGTCCCTCTTTTTAAAAAATAATAGAAATTTAATAATAGAAATTTAATATAAATTGAGTATACGATGAGGTATTTTGTGAAAACAGTAACATGAATTTTGTAATTACATTGCTAAAAACGACTCCTTTATTTGATTATAATTTAAATTCTATATATATTTTAAATACTGCCCTGCGATTCTGTAAAAATCCTGACCCGAATTCGAATTCACTCATGTGTCCGAATTCACATCATTTAGTGTAAAAATTCTATTGATTCCATTTTTTTTGTATAAAAATACAAAACAAAATTGATTGAATACACGTGTCTCAGATATTCTATTCCTATATCATTTCGAAACACACTTCACTTATGCTAAGAAACGTTATTACCAATTCAAGGTTGAGCGTATGCCTCTTTTTGAAGTCAATTCGGACACCTGAGAGAATTCGAATTCGGGTTTGGAGTTTTACAGAATCGCAGGGCAGGTACTATACAAATTTTCATCCCTTATTTCTATCCCTTTTTACAATTAAAAGTAGCCTAGTAACTATGCTGGTAACTTTAGATTGCCTGAACATTAGTGAAAATACGCTCTGTATAAGCGAAAAAAAAAATCATTAGTCCTGTTAGGTCCTGGGTAGCTCAGTGGTTAGAGCAGTCGCTCGGATTGCGAAAAGTCGCGGATTCAAATCCCATCTCGTAGTACCAAGAACAAAAGGTATTTTTTTAATCATTTTTCATTAAGAATATTTTCAAGTATAGCATTGTGAATATAAAAATTGATTAAATATAATAATTGAAAATAATATCATGGGGATAACAAATATTAATTTTCTTATAGTAATAAAATGTAATCCAGTTATCATATCACCTTTTTTCATCATTAAGCCAATAATAATGTAAATATTTTTGCAGCTATTTTAATTATAGATAGTGTATAATTATTGATAGCGGAAATTCTATTGGGAATTAGGGATTTTGGTATTAATTACCTTAATAATCAAACGAATACGAATAAAATAATAAACAGGATTGCTACCTACCTACCATATACCTTAAATTTCACAATTTCACAAGTTTAAATTTGTAATTTTCCTACGTAGTTGAAGTAGTTTAGTAAAAAAGTAGTTTTTTTAAATAACTGTTTGTTACTTTTACACCCTGTTTCTGATTTGAGAGTACTTAAACCATCTTAAAAATCACTTATACTAACTTGTTTTAATTTTTTGAATTATCAGTTGATAGCAATTTGATAAAACTAGGACTTTTTGCCATGAAAACGTAAAAACTTAAGTTATCGAGAATAATCAGTTGCAATTTTGTACTTTTCTCAATTCAGAAACCGGCCGTTTATCGCGATCAAAACGCACGTTCACAAAGCAAGTGTTTCTGTTTCCTACCGAAATATCCAGTTTCAAAAATACCAATGTTTGTTATCGAATCCTTCTCTTATCTCTAGCTTCATTATTTCATTTTGTTTTCACATCAGCCTTTGCTGATTAGCAAACATATCACTGAATTTATGAGTGATATAATTTGGTCAAAATGTCATTTAAACATAGTAGTCTAGGTAAAATTTAAATAAGATTTTTTAAAGCAGATAGAGGCAGTATTTGATTAGTTATTTATGTTCGCAATGATACCTATAATTAACTTAGCCTTACTTGAAGTAATTTCATTTAAAACGACGTATGTGTGCACCTTTATCAATGTGTTGTAGAGTAGTTAATACTTTTGCTTTACTTGTAGTTGACTAGAACTCTAGATACGCGAAGACGTTAGACTAATAATTTAATTAAATAGTTCGTACATTAACGAGTCGTTCGTTCTAGTAGCTGATTGCGTAATGTTAATCGCTTGTATCTAGTTTAGTTTTATGTTCACTGGAAAAACCTTAAGTTGTATGAATTGTTACGTACGAATAACCTCGTCGTTTATTCCAGTGTAGTCTTACGTGTCTATCTCCATTTTCATTATCTATATTTTTTTCATAGGGTTTTTAAATATTAATTCATCGCATTTTACATCATCTTCACTCAGATTAACATAAACCTTTTTAATATAAATGGTGTAAATTATCGAAAGTAATGATATATGAGGTTCAGGAAAACTCTTTTCTCTTGGCATCAGTATCATTAAAATTATAGAATCTATAATAGATGATAACCACGAATGCAAATTAGAAAAGTGTGTGATTTTCATTTGTTTTTCTTTATGTCAAAATGAGTGAATCTAATGAAGAAATTCGATACATTTTATAACTTTATTACAAAAAAGTGTAATTCAACGTAAGCCGCGAATAAAAATTGTGACGTTTATAGGACTTAGTGCAGTTTCTGAGAGAGTAGCACAAATTGAGAGTAGCACGGACCTGCTTATACCAGCTTAAACCAGCGTTTTCAATTCGGAAATTTTAATGTTAAAGATGCACGTCGCTCTGGTCGCCCTGTTACGAATAAAATGCTTGCCATTTTGAAAAAGTGGAACAAGATCAGCATATCGGGAATTACGACATAGGTGAAGAACAGTGAAATAACTACACAGGAACAGTTTTGGTACATTTGAAAAAAGCAGGGTATACAAATGATTACATATTTGGGTATCTCACGAGCTCGCTGAAACAAACCTTATGAATCTGTGAATTCATTTGTGATTCTTTATTACGGCGTAATGAAACCATTTTTAAAGTAGCTTACCGAAAAATACTGGTGACGAAAAGTGGATCACGTATGGCAAGTACGTGCGAAAAACCCGGGTTAACTCGCAACAAGGTGATGCTATGTGTATTGTGGGATTGGAAAAGCATTATACATTTTGAGCTATTACCGCCAAACAACTGATGAGATTAAAGCAAGAAGTTGAGAGAAAGCGGCCATAATAGCGGCCAATATAAGGGGTTGGTTTTTCATCATGATAACGCTAGACCTCTCACATCTTTTGCCACTCAACAAAAATTAAGAGAGTTTGACTGCGAGGTGTTAATGCATCCGCCGTATAGTCCTGACCTTGCACCTTCAGATTTCCACCTGTTTCGGTTTCTGCAAAATTCTTTAGGCAGTGTCAGGTTAAAATCACGCGAGGACTCCCGATACCATTTGTCGCGGTTTTTTGATCAGAAGCCCCAAAATTTCCATAGCAATGGGATCATGTCCCTAACTACAAGATGGCAAAAAGTCATCAAACAAAATGGTACCTCCATACTTTAGTTAAATGTACATAAACTTTATTAAAAAATGTTTTATATTTTCATATAAAATGCGAAGAAACTTTTCCCCAACCTATTATTTACTTACTTACCCTGGACTCGTAGACCCTGGTCAGAGCGTCGTATCGGATAGATCCGAGGAATATGACCGCCTGCGCGGCACCGCCCCGCCCCCGTGCCACTAGCTCCACACACACCATCTCACCGTCCCGCACCACGATGTCACAGAACACCTGCAATAGAACAAACTCTCTTACAAACCAATACAATCGCCACCATCACAACATAAAATAACCTACACCCCAGAAATACAAGGCGATTAATTTCTCAAAAAAAATAACAACGCTATTAAGAGTCGTGGAAAAAAGAGACGGTTATCCATTCGTGTCAATGTTGATGTCATAGTCTAATTACCTGTTTTCTTTAAAAATGTAGTATTTCATAAAAATGTGAGTATTTTCTTTTCGTAAATGTGAAAGTTTGAATCTAATCTGTAAATAAATTTATTTTTATTTAAACACTAAATGACTTCAGAGAAAGAAGTTTGCAATCTAAGCAGAGTCATGCAGATTAACGTAAGCACGTCAAATCCTTTGAAAGAACCATAATCCGCATATTTACTTAGTTTTAAATTGTTAGGATTCTTATCTGTCATACGGAATGTCTTATGTAATGTGGCAGTAATTTATCATCCATCTATCTATTTAAATGTAAGATAACATGTGTCGAATTGCGACTCGTAGATAATCTAAGTCTTGCTTGATGTTTTTAGTGAACATTTAATCTTATGTGGATTTATGTTATTTCATTTAATGGGTCAGACCTAGACTTTTAGGTATACGCAGGCACTGGAAAAGCTTTAGTCAAAACTAAAACCAATTTTCTTAATTAAACCCCTTCTTGTTGATCGATCGACCTGAAAGGTATACCAACACACCTTAATTCAGAGTCAATAATATAATCATTTAGTATTATTATAAATCCAAGGTGACTGTAGCCACAAAATGATAGATTATTCCATATTTTCTATTAGTCCTAAAACAATGTTCCTAAAATTATTACATTAAACTTTTTCATATTACCTTGAAACTTTGCAATCGTACCGAGACCAACATAAAAATATTTAAATCATGAAAAATGATTTCACGATTCATTTTCATTGCAATTCGTGAACGAGTCATTAAACAATGCTTAAATTTTTTGTCATTAAAATTAACAAAACCTATTATTTAATCATTACACATTGAATAATCCTAAAAGTCTACATAGTGACCGAATTTGAATACTTTATTTTACAGTATAGCATTGTGAATGCAAAATTGATCAAATATAATAATTAAGTTTAAGAAAAAGGTAGAATAATATTCTCAATAACCGTAACAACAAAATGCGTGTGATGGATGTATATACCTAGTCTAGTCATGAGCTCTGTTACAAGGAAAATATCCGACAATTTCTAAAAAAAATAAAAATATAATAAAGTTTTATATGTCACTCGCCAGCTGCTACCGCGGAATACTCGCTTCGCTCGCTCGGCTCGCTTTTTATTTTGGTCACAGTTCTAACATAACCTAAACCATTGATTGTATTTTCTTTGGTGGGATTCAGTTTAAAAATATAACTTCTTTCACTAAATTAGTTTCTGTGGTGTTAGTTTTAATTAAAGCTCGAAGTGATTACTAGATGTATCTGAAAATAAAATATACTAATTGTAAATTCTTGTTCTGACTAGGTATTTCTAGTTTTAACAATAGCATTTAGAAGAAATTAGTTGTAACTAGGAAGAACGCGTTCTATCTTAAAACTGGTTTCAGCTGTAACATATATAAATAATTATAATAATTTTACTTTCGCAAAATCGCGTTAATTAGTCACTCCATTTTATACTTCACCCAAGAAAGTTTGGACCCATTTTCATGTTATTTAATTATTTATCTTTGACCAGAATAGCAGAATAACTATTAATATATTAAAACTGATTCAAAACTTAAGATTCAACAAAATATCGGGGCGGAGGCATAGACAATTAACTACGTTATATTTGTCGGTAACGATAATTTTGAATATATCACCAGTATCATGCATTCGTTTTCTTTAGAAGCGTTAGTTTCAAAGAGTCAGTCAGATCAAAATTTACACAAAAATGTCATATTAATGTGAAAACCTAAAACTTCATTATTATCCTCACCCTTAAGCTTAGCTTAACTAGAAAACGGTTAATCTCACAAATCACCTAATCAGATTAGTTTAATTCCAAATCAACATTTTTTTCTTTTATCCCTTGACACCTTTGGGAACTGTCATGTACGCAAAGGCCTAGCGCAAAGTGCCGTATAACGCATGTTATGACTTTAACCTTTGCTTTATGACGTTAGGTTAAGTTAGTTCCTAGTGTCTCAGAGGCGTACCCCCAACCCGAGTGGGACCTGCCCTTTTCAGGGCGGGCCGAAATGGGGGCGAACCGCGCGGTGTATGGCCTTCGGGCCGATCCCGTACATCGCCTTCCATGAGAGGGACATCGCTGAGTTTTAGTGGGTAAACTTCTGTTTCATGTCTAGCCCCTTCGGGGTGGGGCCTCAGGAGGAGTCCCACATCACCCGTGGAGCCCGCGCAGGGTTAAGCGGGTATGCGTAATGCATTTCTCAGCGTCAAAAAAATAAATAAATAAAAAAATAATAATAGGTTAGTTCCTAGTCATTGGTGAAATGCATATCCTCATTATTATTATTAGGCGATTCCTAAATAATTAAACAACAGAATTGACCGACTCCTAAGTTTAGTGAAAACGGACATCTCATGAAATTTATATTCTGTGCAAACTATCTGGCAATACTAGCAATACTGTACCTGAACACACGGATGAGTGTTGCCATATAAGAAGATAAGTTCAAACATAGCTCCTCACGTCCTATGAAGAAACATTATTAGCTAACGTGCGGTAACGACTCAACAGATAACTAATAAATTTATTTAAAAAGATAATTTTTAAGACAACAGTTGCTGATAACATTTATCACTAAGCATTAACTTAAGTTAGTTAATGAAATCACCACTCGCTTGACCTTCGACAGCTCGAGACAATCACTTTAAAACGAATGGTTATTTTCGAATTGCTTATAAATAAATATAGGAAAATTAAATACTCATTAAAGTTTGGTTTATAGTACCTATACGTTTACTTTAAACACTATATTCTTGCCGAACAAGACCGCCAACGAACAGATTTAACAAACATGTTCTGGTTGTTCATACACATAACTTTGTGTCATATTATGTATTTAATAATTATAATATGGTGCATTACATTAAAACTGTTGGATGAACAAATCAATGATCGCAAATTACTTAATCGATAATTTCGACTTATTGATCACAAACAAATGACAAAATATCAGAAAGGAGTAGTCTTTTTAATAAAATGCCTTATATTTGTCGATTTCGAAATAATTAAAACGCTTAAATCTAAAATTGTATCCTTTAGTTAATGAAACGGAATCGTATTATATTTTAATATCTAATGATAATTTGATATTGCATTGCCTACAATGCAAGTTGACATGGTTCACGCACGACCAGTTTCACGATTTATTAACTTGCACCAGATCATGTGTGCAAGTAAATAAATCGAGTTTATTGTAAGAATAGCATGATTTCTGGAGTAACGCATTTATTATCGCACAGTCATTGTTACTAACCGATAACCATGTCTTTTTACCTGATGGTCCATGAAAAATAAAAAATATACAAGCATTGAAAACTTCTTTCATTTAACGTTCTTCATACGTCAAATCAAAAATAAAAATTGCCAATATTTGCGTTATTTTGATTATCGAGAGAAGGCGATTTAGGCAAAAAACTATTTAAAAATGCCGATGACCAGAGTCTGTCCTCTATATGAACTTTTAAATTTTTTTCGCAATAAATGCTTCATATCTCTTATTTAAATACCAAATAAAGATGCTTATTTGTTTTCTAAATAATATATATTTATTTATAAATATATATTTAACTTGACTAAATAACATTTGAAAAACTATATATTTAAAAGGGCATTATAATAATAATGGTGATTAATTTACCCCTTGGGTCATGTTCCAGTAATATCACAATGGTCAAATAAATGAGTAAACATCCCGATAAGTACATATCAGTAAATGTTTACCAGTGATCGTTGCGTGAATCATCCGCTTCATAGCTCCGTCCGTTGATGACGTCATCGTGTCTCACCACGCTGCCAAATGACAAATGTAAAAGGCTTCTGGCTCCGATTTCCTTGTTAATATTCTATAGAACGATATAAATCTCATATTTGAGTGTTGTTGGCCCGGATAAAATGTTTATTTTCTTTTTATAAGTGAAATAAATTGTTTTTACTTAATTTAAATTGATAAAGTGTGAATCACATCTTGTGACGTTAAATTGATGCAATTTTATATCATCACTGAAGAACAGCAGAGGGTTAGTTATTGTAGTTTTGATTGTTGATATCGACAGAATTTTTATACGTTACAATATAACAGAACTAAATATGTATAAATAAGTAAAACGTGAAAAGAAAAATAGCTTTATTTTTCCCTTGAAATCCTAATATTGAAAAAAATATATATAAAAAATGTACCGGGATGCGTACCTCATTTTTGTAATTATACATTTAAGTCTTACTAGTTAACCTTGTGATTTGGTAGCGAATTTCACAGAACATTAACGACAAAAAACGGCGAAACGTTCAAATTGAATGAGTTTATGGTTTAACACCAGTCATCGTTGTGTCTGTTATCGATGACAATTATCTCAGGAACCGGTTAAGGGCTCGTGAATTTTTATATTATTTCCACTTTAGATGAGGAAAATGTTAAATATTATCTAAAGGAAAACATAAAGTCCGTCTATAACTAAGAATTTCGAAACAGACTTCGATTAGTAAAACTGGGCGAGAGAATTGAATTTTATTTATAAACTTATGAAGGTATTTGTAATTTATTATTAAGGTATTTGGTATATATTTTAAAGAAGAAATAGGAAAAAAGTTTTTAGCTTAGTATTTAAATAGTTTTGTATCTACGTGAAATATTTGTAGTAGAATATATATTTTTAACTGTGGTTAACATGACATTCCTATACCCGATCCCTACATCAATTGATGGGGTCACACTTAAGAATGGGTTCACTGAGGATCGAAAACCATTACTCAATTAATACAACGTGTGGCACAATGCCGCAATGCTAGGGAAATACCGACATAACCGACATTCAAGGAAGTGATTTGACATTTACATATTTATAGCTATCGAGCTTTACATTTAATTGAAACATAGATAGAATATTCTTTATTGTACACACAAAGACAAAATACACTTATGTGACGAAAACAGGAGACGTATAATTGGCGGCCTTATCACTAAGAGTGATCTCTTCCATATAACCTTTTGATGGAGTTAAATATAAAAGACCTAATGATGGGGTAGTGGATAGTACATATAAACAATTTATAAATATATATAATAGACAATTTTTATTTGCTTAATTATGATTCAATTTTTATAAAAGACCTACATATAATATAATTACTATTATCATATAAAATATAAGACATATATAAACATGTAATACCTATATAGGTACATATTTTCATGGATAGGTAGTGCTCTCTGACAAGTTTCCTTAATATATTATCAGAATTAGTTTTTCTAATCCACAATGGTAGTGCATTCCATAGGCGTACAGCGTGGATGGTAAAAGATTTATCGTAGTACTTCATGGAATGCATTGGCATTTCCAGCCGCAGGTTTTCTGATGATCTTAAGAAGCGGAGGTGCGATTCTTTGACGAATTCGAAACGATCTTTGAGATAAGAAGGGGTAGTGGGATTTTAAACTATACTAAATAAAATATTTAAAATATGTGCATTCCGGTGAAATCAAATAGGCAGCCACTTGAGTTTCTCACGAAATTCGGAAACGTGATCATATTTGCGTAGTCCAAATATATTATGTAAAAATTTTGAAGACACTCAAGCTTGTTCAGTTGCATTTCGGTAAGGTCATAGCTGACCTCGGGTTAATCGAGAATTGGCATCAGAAGTGATTGTGTGAGCGCAATTTTAGTCACAGTAGGCAAGAAATTGCGAAGCCTTCTTAAAGTCCCAGCAGATGCAAAAAGTTTGCGACTCACTTCTTTGAGTTGCACATCCAAATTTAAGTTTCTAACATGATCACTGAATTGTATCGAGATTGCATCAAAAACTATTTGCGGGATCTGTTCAAACTTTACTTTAGCTCTAAGCCGTGAGCACACTATGACAACTTGAGTTTTGATGGGATTCACCCAAAGCCTATATTTGCAGCTCCATTCAGAAATCTGAGCTAAATCTTTATTCAAACTTTCAATGGCTAAACTAATATCCTCAGCAGTGGCTATCGTATATATTTGCAAATCGTCTGCATAAAGATGGTAGGAAAAAAGTAACTGAGAGGTAATTGTGTTAATTTAAACAGCAAAAAAAGAGGAGATGAAACGCCACCCTGCGGCACCCCGGCAGTTAAGTCACACAAACAAGTAGAAAGAAACTTCAACGCGGACGCGCTACCGACCAGACAGGTAACTTCGAAACCAATCAACTGCTGATGGAGTTGCAAACATTTGCAATAATTCCGACCAGCAAAGTGGCGGCACACGTGCTTCTTTTATGACTATGACACAAATATTAGTTGATAACTTGTTATGAACTCGATACAAACACCCTACTATTTTTTATACAATTCACTCTAATACGACATGCGAACATTCTCACGAGACATTATCTCTATTAGACTTTGTGATTGCTAAGCTGACGGTCATCTGTCTAAGCGTATGCAATGTGAGGCTAAATATCTACAGTTAAATTGTACTTAATACGCCAATAATACAAAATGTCGCTAAATACAACTGACGTTGAAGTTACAATACCTATCTAACCCTTTGAAAGTAACTTTATATACTTCTATATTAGCTTTTTTGCAGTTAGATTTTTTTCACCATTCTTTCAACAAAAAACTTTTAAAATAATTAGACCCATGCGACTGATTTATTGAGTAGGTATGTGTATGAGTTTAATTTAAAAAAAAAATATTGTATATTAACATGACAATAAGCCAATCAAAAACAGTGATTTGAATAAAATAACAATTAATATCCTTAAGGAACAAGATAAAGGAACGACAAGGATAGCCAGAATCTTAGTAGATAACCCACGAAAAATATTTGTGAGTAGTTTTGCAAAGTAAATGCAATAGCTACGAATAAGTCAGAATTGTTTCGAAGACAATGTAAATAAATTGAAAGGCGAGTATGATGAAATGTAAACTAAAATCTTAACAAATGGACGGGCCGAAAAGACGAAAGAAATCATTTTTAGAATTTTAAAATGAAAACACACGAACCTACGCATACCAGTAACAGCCGAAACGAAGTGCAAAGTTAATTACTTCGGCTCGGACTGATCTGTAATTAACCTAAAAAGGGTGAGATAAGTTACTCGGGCACTGAAATTTGAAAAATTCACCAGAGAAAGCGATCGTCACTCGTCCGATCACCTACCGTACTTTCACTGTCCACTAAACGGCTTACCTCGTCTCAATCAGTCGGTCTAGGTCATGTATAACACCGGTGTAATGGCCGCCGCCGCCTGCGACGCAGATCTCGGGAATGCGTAGGCGCAAGGTCATGAATACGGTTGCCGCTCTGCTCAAGCTCGGGCCGGGCAATCCGTTAATTGATATATTTTATTGTAAGTTCATTTTAGATGTCAATACTAAAATTTAAAATCTACATAATCAAACTTCACATTTTGTAACAAAAAAAAAACAGGGAAATGATTCGATCAACAAATACAACATATATAAATCAAAATACACAAATTTACTCTCAAAAATAGTTGATGCCCTTGATAGATTTAAGCTACCTACATAATTTAGGGCAAAAAAAATGACACTAATCTGCCATAGAAAAGAATTTGGTGAAAATAAAGTGGGAATCACGAAACCCATAGTTTTAAATCAACATTATCGCATACGGAATTTTATTATAATTGGCAACCAATGGTAGAATGTTATCAATAACGGGTGATTGTTTAGATCGGGGCGCCTGCCGACTGCGCAGCCTAGCCAGACCACTCTGCACAAGGGCTACAAATATTTGTTTTTATGATTTCTTGTTAATTTTTGAGAAACGTAGGTAATTTTTATTTTTTTTTATTTAGGACATTTTTAATAATTTTTGTCTTAAATGTGAAGTGATCTGGAATTAAAAACTTACTAATGGTGCCTTCTTAAGTATTTTTTGTGTATTGAGAATAAAATAATAATATTTAGTGTAGAAAATAACTGTGTGTGTACCTACATATTTTTTGTGAATATTCATTTGATATCTTTTATATCAGAAGGTGCTCACTAGGAAAACAATTCGACTGTGGAGAGGTTACCAAAACATAAAATATCATGTTATTTTAATGTTATCAAAAAACGCGTATAATAAGAAAATTAGTCCATCTAGTATTTTTGTTTTCTTTTCTCCGCACCATACGCCGTTTTTTCTAATCTCATTGACAATTTAATTACGAATATTCTCTTTAGGCATATGCGCTCTCTTAATAAGTGGTACCTCGTCAAAGTTGTCCACCATGAAGCAAATGTGGGGGTAGGTCATCTCCTCGCCTTCGCCTTTCGTGTCCATTTTACGTCGGCTCGGGGACGCGTACACCTGCCCAAGCACATAAAAAATTAACACTCATGATAGATACTGACAACAAATAATTAGAGAGATAATTAATGGACAGACGTTTACGACAATTAGTCAAAAATACCCATCAATTATTTAAATTATAGGTATTTAATCCATCGCTATGTTTGTATACTTGTTTCTATATTCTTTATCTAATTTATTACTTCTATTTTTTCGGATGGTTAAACTGATAGCTATAATAGTTATACAATGTCGTCCATACACATAATTTACAATGATTATAGGTGGATCACTACAATAAGGCTATACATGAGCCGTCATTACCTTGAAATCATAACCCAAGACAATAATAGTACACAATTTTATCACGTAGGTATCTTTAAGTAGACATAGCAGCACGACAGATTACTTTTATGTGGTAATTTTGTGCCTGACTACCAACTGATAAAGTTTTAAATTCGTCCTGACCTGACGTGATGTCGACCGTACATTCACGGCGTAATAAACACTAAAATAAACCGTAAAACTAAGAAATGAAACTGGAAAAACACAATTGACGGTATCAAATACGAAAAGGAATAGTAATATCGCTACAATACACACTAAGCAAACATAGATTTCAATCCGGATATCCGTTTCATTTCCAATAAGTTGGAACTGTGATGACATTATTTAATATCGATCCATCTGTTTCTTTACTGACAAATCCTTAAAATATTGTATTATCCTATAATTTATAAATATTATCCTGTAGTCTGACAAAATAAATATCACATAAAACAGATAATACGATACTACAAGTACAAAATATTGCCTAACTATGTGTGCTCCATTACAAGCAACATTCTTGTATTTTCTAGAACTATCCGGAGATCGGAAGAAAACAGGGAATACCAAAAATTGCAAGCTTTCCTTGTAAATCACGTAACTATTTATTTGTTAATAATTATTATTATAATAATAAAAATATTTGTTTATATTTATTAATAGTTAATAATAATAAAGCACTACCCATACATAATATAAAACCATTTTCAATATGTATATTCCTATTTAATTTTGGTTCGAGTATTCGACTTTTAAAATCTAAACAATTTAATCTATACACACACAGTCTAAAACAAAATCGATTCCCGCTATCTGTAAGCTGAGATCTTTAAACTACACAGCGGATTTTGCGACACAGGCGTAAAACTAGATACCTAATATAAATAAATAAAATAAAATGCAACATTATACAGCTGTATCATTAACACAGAACACAGAAAGACGTTAGAAGGGCCTTGTGGGCGTGGCAGTGTAGCCACGATCCTGGACAAATGTACAGGATCGTGACTTCACCACGCGATCGCGATGTTTAGTCATTCACGAACGCGCGCGCTGTAAGTACTGTGAAACACGCCACTAAAAGTGTTAAAAATGCCGACTTGCGCAGTTATTAATTGCAAAACAAGAAGCCCATCCTCAAGTAGGTCCAAAGGAAGAATTTCTTTCCATTAGTAAGTAGAACACTTCTCAAATTTAGTATTTTTAGTCGAAATTCGTGAAATGTTATCAAAAGTGTGAATCACAAAAAATATTTCCAAGAAAATATACATTGCTGGAGAAGTGCGCATATTTATTACATTGCGTCGTACTAAGCACGTAATGTAAAGAACATCGCGAAAACACCGTTTTAAATAGCAACATAATAGATTACGGTAGATGGGTAGTGAAGTGCCTAGAAACATTTAATCGATTCTTGGTGTGTTAGTTAGTAAACTCTAAATAAAAGTATGGACGAAAAATAGTGGTAATAAAAAATGAATTTAATCAGAGACTAACCATATTGACTTAGTTTGATATGCGTTTGTATATTAATTTAATAATGAGTGTGGTAATGAGTCTGTTTTTATATTCTTAATTTTGTAACAGAAAATCAGTTTTCTTTTTTTATTTTGAACCAATAACAACAATACTTTTTAAATCATTGGAATCCGTACAGAATAAGTTCCAATAGCAACAATTTATTGTACTGATAGTATTTTTTTATTATTATTAATAAACAAACATATTTATATGCAAATATATATTTAAGCTCAACTAGTATCGATTCAATCTTAGTTCATTAGTAATTTAAATATTTCTTATTGAATCAACCAACTAATTAAGAATTAATATCTAAAAAAAAAGATAATGTCTCATTTAATCAATTCAATTCAATGTATATCCAAAATAATATAAAGAAATCATTACTCTAGTATCCATTCAATTAATCGACTTGTTGTTTTTCAATGTCGATAGTAAATAGCTTTATGTCAATCACTAGTGTGATATGTCAAATTAAAATGGCTTGTACACGTTTATTGCGCACTATAGATATCTGTTATGGTTGAGCGTGATTGGTTATAGTTATATTGGAGCGTTCTGATTGGCATGTTTAAAACGCAAGTGTGTGCATATCTTTTGGATAATTGGTCTGATATTTCTTCTGATGTACGGCGGACTAAAAGTAGGCCAAGACTGGCGACATCGGTTTTCGTACAAAAGATGCATGATCGCCTTTCTAACCTCTTTTCCGTGTTCTGTGATCATTAATTTAATATTTTTCGAGACCGAACAATGCTAAATGGCTCGAATTTCCGATTCCTGGGTGCCGGGAATGAAAACTAACAAAACACAATTTACTACCACATTTCATACCATCGGCAATTCGCCACTTATTTATCAATTGCATATACTAAGGATGTAACCTTCATAAACAATCATAAAAGACCACGTCTGGACCACGAATAATCATTTGGAATTTATTACTACTGTACTCGTTTAAAACAATAGACTCACAAAGCAAACGTATATTTATATCGTGTGGCATATAATCGCCGGATGTTATAGTGCGATTTGCTGTATGGGACATAACTTACGCAGTTTTAGTCTACGAGATTATTCCCACGGTAAAGATTACCTATCTTTACAGTGATATTCTGGAAATTTATTCCCACACTAAACGGCACGTCACTCTTTATTGAAGTTGAACAATACATCGAACCCGGAATACAATATGGCATGATCGCACTGAGGATACACGCACGTTAATGCGACAAAATCTACCTACTGATACAATGAAAAAAATCCTAACCTATTAAGCGAACTTGCAAGATTTATTTATTTATTTATTCATACTTATTTAAAAAGTTTAATTTTATCATCACATATATATTTATAAACTTGCTGTGACCCGCGGCGTCGCATATTAATCTTATCAATCTTCCTTTGTTATTATTGTGATATCAAAGGTAGAAATATTATCCCAACCGTAATTCCATAGATTTGTTCAGATCATAATCGATCTGCTTTCTTTAACTTATAGTCTACGTCGTATCAAATGACCTATCATAAGCAACAATGTATAAACCTTACCAGAATTGTAATATACAGGTTTGAGATGGATTATGTTACGTTAGTAATGCGAGCTTGCTTGCAGTTGCAGCTTGTTTGCAGCTGACTCGTGTGAATAGGGTCAAGGCGTGAACTCTATAGACAGTAAAAATATGAATAAATCACACCTGAGAATTTTAATATTAAATTATAAATTGTCTACTTATAATTCTATAAAATACAACCATTAGGAATTTATCCATATAAAATAGCAATATCACGTTAAGTATTTTTCAATGAAAGCTGAATAATAATATGAAAGCTGAATAATAATCATAATAAGATTTAGTAAATGCTATGCTATGAAAAGACAATAACAAAATAGTTAAAATAAAATAATATATCAAGCTGTCTAATGAAACTGGTAAATTTTTATCAGACATCTTTTTCAAATAAAAATACCGAGTTAATCTGTTTATTAGTTACTTATACCCTACCAAAAGGTTTGCCGAAAGGAGAATAAAAATAAATTTTATATTAAAAAAATAATGTCTTTTTTTTCTACTACATACTCCGTGTTTGATAAGGTGACAACAAGTTGAACAGGAATAAATTTAAAAATTAAAGAATAACTTATACCAAAATTTTCATAATTACATATAAATAGTTAAATAATTATCAACCGATAAAAATCATTAACTAATAAGATACACTAATAGAACAGATAAGTATTTTGCTGGGTGATGAATAATGACTTAGCTAATCAATAATGTATTGTAAAATTAAATAAATTACGATAACACTTAAATACGCTGTTCCAATTGGTATCTCAATTCGGTAAATAAATGTAATTTCTTCCTACATTAACATAATTCATAACCGAATATGAAATTAGTATATAGTTACTTAAATTTTCCAAGAAATAAGTATTCGTAGTGCTATCTTATTTTGAAGGCTGGACTGTCTGGCACTTGGCAGTCTGAATAGACCTTCGGTAGCTAAGACGGAAGAGCACCTGCCGGGATAGTGTGAAATTTTACTAGTACGAGTATCTGAGACACTAATTTTGTTAAAAAATCTTTAAGATAATTACTAGAAATATAAATATAATAATCAAATAGCTTTTGCCCGCGACTTCGTCCGCGTGGTATAGATACTTTGAGCAGCATTTCTAATAACGCTTAAACAAATATTATACATATCTGCCTATAAAGTTTTATGATTTGATCTTTGGCAATGACGAACTTCCATACAAACTTTAAATCGCTATTTTAACCTTTTTATCACAATAAAAGCAACCTATGTCCTATCTCAAATCAACTACTCGACTTCTCAACCGCGACTAATAAGCAACGTGAGCTCGCCTCTTCAATGTCTAAGCAAACACTTATATCTATGTTGTTTATTGACTGTCATGAGTTTTACTTTCGTCGCTGTTACCTACTGGAAATATTTCCACTTTGACAGATGTTCCAAATAATTATGTTGCACCAGTACCTGTTACAACGTAATCGTTTTCTGGTATAATTTAGGTGTATCTATTCGATTTTCTTTTTGGCAAAATTTACGGCGCGATAATAAAGATCATTGAATTCGCCAATAATGTTCCTTTCAAAGCGACATGCATTGCGAGCGGGGGCCTCGGTACGACCGCACCGGGCGCCAGGGGCGGAGACTTGGCCCGTCTGCCGGTGACGTCACCCGCACGTAATTACTTCCATTGAGCCGAACGCAGGCGGACTTCGCCGACGAAAGCCGAAGGCCTGCGCGCCACCGCCCGCCCGCCACCCGACCGAAGCCAACCAGTACCACATTACATCTTTTCTAGTACGCGGCCGACGGGTACCTCGCACGCTCACGCGACGTAGCTCGATAAAATATTTTAATAACAAAATACAAGTCAACCGTCCGTCGTAGTGTTTGTGCCTCAACCAAATTAAACTCTCTGACAAGCGGTTTAGCTAATTCCGTTACCTACTAGATAGTGTTGTGAAGTGTATGCAAGTGTGTGAATTTTACACTTCGACCTCGTTTAGTCAACTGTGTGATTTAACTGGACGCAAGCCGTTCCAGCTTTCTAACGGGCGCATAGGACGAACAGGTCGCCACGGCCTGAATCGATGAACGCTCGAGTTCTACAAGAATGACAGTTCGCCCATTGATCGGGTGAGTCCAAGCCGCGTAACCTATGCCCGTATAATCATAAATAAAGCGAGCGCGTGGTAACGCGCTTTCAGTTCGAGAGCCGTAAGAGAAATCTATTGTGACGATCATGATCTATATTTGCGGGCAGGACATGTTAGTTAGCCCGCGCGCGCCGGCCGACACAGATAAGCCTAATTGTCGGATGCAAATGTCTCCTTGACGCTTGTCGCGGTATCCATCGTCGCCCTGGGTCTTTGAACCGTGTTCTCTCCCGGTGTTATTTCGCTATCGCACGCTTTGTTTACACACAACAAATTGAAAGTTCTAGAAACAGCACGATCGCAATGGTTATGAAGACGGAACGAATGTAAATCTGTTTTACGGCCTGTTGCCCGAATATATTTTTCCAAAAGGAACTTGCATTACGTTAAATATTTATTAAAAAATTAATCTGTCACTTAATAGTATATGAATTTCAATGTTTTATCCAAGCATTATTTAAAAGAATTGAGTCTTCGCTTAACAACTTTATGTGTCGTTTGGATGTTTGGTATTAAATTGTTTTTTTTCCAAGTTAAATTAAATAGACTGGAAGTAACTTTTTTTATGAATCTGTTATCATATTATCTAGTTTATAGAATTTATGTTTATATGCGAGAAATGATGAAACGCTTCGATTTTAAGATTAAATTGCATAATATTTTTGTATCGCGAGTAATATACTTCACAAAATTTATACAAAACATTATAATACTGCCATCAACTAAATGAATACTTTTTTCTCAATTCCAGGATCAATCCAACCGAATGGTGATTGGATGACGATCTCCGCGCGGTCCCCGAGTAAGGACCCGTCGCCTCCTAAGCAAATTAACTTCGCGGAGCCTCTGGTCGAGTCGGTGCGAGTGTACCTGGCTAATGAATTGCCATCTAAGCAGCTAGCGCTCGTGCCGTGCGCGCCCTCGCCGCCCGCGCCCGCTCCCGCCCTCAGCGATGTCGACATAGCAGCACACACTGTACGCGACGAGATCAAAGGAATCAATTTCGAGGGACGCTTAAAACGGAATGACCTGAACAATAACGCGTCCAGACATCAATCGGATCCGCAGCCCGCCATGCCCAGTCAAGCAGAACTGATGCAACGTCAACCTCTTCTAGCGCGGGCGGCCAAGAAGGACGCACCGCAACCAGCTACAGACGAATCAGACCCTGACCAGGAGCATTCACCACAAAGAACTCACGCCGGCGAGTTCGTAGTAGAGATCCCTCCAGGTGCCGTACGCGAAGAACGCTACCCTAAAGAAATATGGAAGACGATCCTTTCTTTTTTCTTCCTGTTTGTGTGCGTGTGTATAAATATGATGTCACTGTCACTTGTCCACGAGCGGCTACCTGATAGAAACAAAACGGAGCCCTTGAACGATATAGTTTTGGACAATATCACTGCGCGAGACTGGGGCCTAGCAGTATCGGAATACCTCATCATGGTATCGACGACAGTAGCCATGCTCGTGGTTGTGTTTCACAAGCATCGATTTATCGTCGCTCGCCGCCTATTCTTCATCATCGGCTTGTTGTACCTGTACCGGTCGGTCACGATGTTCGTTACCGTCCTGCCGGTCTCAAGCAAAACTTACTACTGCAGCCCGAAGAGTAACACCACGACGCCATTGCTAGTGATAAAACGTATGTTCTACCTAATATCAGGATTCGGTCTATCGATAAACGGTAAACACACGTATTGTGGCGATTATATATACTCTGGTCATACGATGGTCCTTGTTTTGAGCTACATGATAGTGGCAGAGTACTCACCGAAGAAATTATGGCCCGTTCACTGGGCGATGTGGGGATCCGCGCTGTTGGGTGTATCATTCGTGCTCCTCGCGCACAGCCACTACACGGTAGATGTAGTGATCGCCTACTACGTGACTACGCGGCTATTCTGGACGTTCCACTCATTGCTAGTGACGCCACATCGCAACGGCAGTGGATACAACTACCACATGATTCAGCGGGAGTGGTGGTACTGGCTGTTCACGTACCTGGAGCGCAACGTGCGCGGGCCATTGCCGCGCCGTTACGACTGGCCGTTGCCCTGGCCGCGCACCAAACTCTTCAGCCGGCTCAGCTAGTGACGCGCGCGCGCCGCGCTGCCGCCGCCCCAGCGCGTATGACGCTCACCTTCTGGGAATGCCGCTTCAGCACCTGCAGCTCTTTGGGACTAGTCCGGGTGCAGATTGCCAACGTGAGCGTGTAGTCGAACTGATGCACGATCAAGTTCAGGTAGACGGTTTCCTCCCAGTCAATCTCCGGATCACCAATGGGCAACTTCTTGGAATCTTTGCGGAATACCTCTACCTCCGTCTGTGAACAAGAGTCGACATGTGAATAGAGCTGCGAGACATCCGCCTCGGCTTTTGTCCCTATTACAGACCCGTCGACGGCAGGCGAATGACGCTGTGAGCGTGTGTCGCGTGTGATATGTGATAACTTGATAGTGAGCTCGATGCAAACTGATTTTCGTTCTTGTGACCTCTATGCTTTTATTGTTGAATAGAAATGTAAGATTTTTATTTAACAAAAAAATGGTCAACCGATTGCGTCTGTTGTTGATAGAATTTTTGCTTTTGTAAATTGTATATTTTATAAGTGGTTATTGAAAGTCGATTTCTAAGAACATACCTACTATTTATTAGCGAAATGTACTGTGATTAGTTTGTGTTGGATGAGGAGAGATGCAAGTAATGCGTGTATGTGCCGCAGATGTGATCGCTACCGAGTACATCCTAGTACATAGTTGTTGTCATAGCAGCCTATTCTAAGAAATAATATTTTTATATTCTTTAAATAAAATACATAACCATTGTTAAATCAATCTTTTTGTATATACCCAAAGATTTGTCAAAATAAAATTTCTTTACACTCATCCGAATGGTGCTAACTAGAAGTATAAATAGTAAACATTCTCTAAAATTAATAAATTGTCGAAGTATTTTGGAGAAGCAAACGAAAGAATTTCTTAGTCACAAAATTTAGGGTAACTTTCAAATTCAGAGATTTCTTTTTTAAATATTTGGAGATGCACAAATCAGCAGCCGCACGAATATGCATTTTTAATCACCGGATTTCATAAAAATAAATTCGACTTATTCAAGCGATAAAAGACTACTGTTTAAGGTGTAAACGAAAAAGGTCTAATCTGCAAAGGGTAATTATGAGAACTGAAAGTTGATATTAAATTGATACTCATCTTATGTACCTGTTATGCGCATCTCATATTATGATACTTAAATAACAGTGCTCTGCTGATGGTGTTCTGTACAAAAGTCGTTTACCTCGTACTTGGGCAGATACCGAGAAGAGCCTTTAACGTGACGTTTCCTGACAAAGAACAACAAGTCATCGCAGTCTATGCCCTGCTCCTCCTGGAATAGGAAGTGGCGCACGAACAGATCCGTCCAGTACGTGGTACCCTGCAGCACCACAAACCCGCTCTCTGCGAAAAAATATTATTTTTGAGTCTAGGACACAGTCGAAAGGGAAACAAACATTGGAAACTACAAGATTGTATGTGATTTTATGACTTGGCGCCAAATTATAAATAAGAAACCTATCACAAAAGAAACTTGAATTGATGTTTCCACTTGTTAAAAATGGAATTAGAAAATGCAAAGGAGGAGGAGTACTTCGTGTGAATTTCCTAAATTGTGATTTCTACACACTTTTAAAAAATAATAGATACATTATGTCATAAATACTTAATTGTTAATGAATTGTCAATATTTATTTCATCAGTAATTAGTCTTTACATTTCTAAAGTGACCAATGAAACTAAATCGTAATAACTCAAATGAAAGAACTGTTATCTCGCTGTTCAAAAATTATACACAGATACCAATCATTTATGTAAACTACATTATATTCATTAAATTGTGTACCTAATTTATTAATGTGTAATAGAAAGTATAAATTATAAATAAAGTGCCTTTAGGATAAACAACGTATTGGTAAAACTATAAAAAAGTCAACTTCAACAAAATATGTTATGCAATAAAAAACATAACAATAAATAAAAATTTCAAATGTTTTTTTGTAATAAATTTTATCCAAAATTGACTAAGTAATTTATAATAAAAGAATTTGTTGATAATATGATTGGAATTAAATAAGTGTGTCAAACATATTTAAGTTATGGTTTAAAATATTTGCTGTAACTTCTCACATACAACTGTTTCTGCAATGTGGTGTGCAAATGTGCATGCTCCAAGATAATCTGCGATGGTTGAAAGGTTAATTCATAACCATGACATTAAAATTGCTAATAGGACTGTAAATTAGAAACAACTTATTTTTCTTTCCGACTTTAGCAATATTTTCAGTCATCGCATTGGTGTGCAACATTGAATCCGAATCTCTAAATGTTATTATGGGCTGTATATTGCTTATTATTTGTATGCGCATAATTTTGTGCGATAAACATTACTGATTTCTGTCATCATGTCTGTGTATTAATATTATTGTAATGACTTTGTATTAAATAATAGCAATAGGGATGACGGCTAATTTTTATTTGTTTGTCCATTAGGCAGATTATTGAAAATATTAAACACGTTATTTTTTGTGGTAATCATTAAATTACGGCGATACATAGCGTTAAAAAGTCACATGACGTCACGCTTTGGTACATTTTCTACAAAACTGTGACGTAGCGAACCCACACCTGTTAACTAAGCTATTTCTTGTTAAATTGAAGTAAAAAAAAATACGTATCTAACGGACTAATTAGAATTTTTTTTTCAACCCAATCGTCATCCCTATTATGCCTGTACAAAATTATTTTATTTATTTGTAAAAAATGTGTTTATTACAATCAATGCTATACTACGTATATAAATATTTCTCACAAAAATGCATTTACATAAAAAAGATATTTCTTTTATGTACTGAAATTATCATTAATACTTTTGTAACATCTAACTTATTTATAATTATTGCTCAATCGTACTTCTCCCTTCCATCTTTATATTAATTAATTGAAAGCTGTGAAACTTTTTTTTCTTAATCACACATGATGATATAACGCAAAAGTAATACAATAAACTCAAAACAAAACCGAAATTATAAAATTAGGTAGATATTTGTTGAAAATAAAATTTTGTTAAGAACTACTTGAATATAAGTTTTAATATCATTATATTTTCGTGCATGTAGAAAGTAAAAACTTACAAATGGTGATGATGAACCTTGCATTATGAGTATGGGTATTAACCAAGAAGGCTTTAAGAGTTCAAATAAATTGTTTGTGTTACATTCCTTGTTTCTGCATGTTTTCGTTTTAATAAGCATACGACTTAAAAAAAAAAGGAATATTAAACATAATAGGTATAATAACTTAAGTAAACCAACGCTGTTGTAAATTAAACGTTAATAAATGTGTTTTTAGTAAATATGTTGTCTTATTTAATCTTATTTAAGTAATTTTTACGAAAAGACGAAAATCAGAATAAATTATTTTTGGTTAAAATATTGAATACATACTTTTTGTTTTTGATTTTTACATAATAATTAAATTATGACGATACATTGAGTGAAAATGTCACATTTTAACACTTTTAAATGGAGCGGAGGTAATATTTATAATGATTTACAACAGAGGCACATTTCAAACCCCTTAGGTCTCGGCTTGGTATTAAAATATGACTTATCTTTATGTATATTATTTATTGGTGAGCTTATTTGACTAGACATGTGATTCGGTTGACGAAAATAATGTTTTACTTTTATATTTTCTAATATTGTAATGGAAAGTGACTTCATATTTTAATGAAGTCATTTTTCAATCTTGACGCTCTGTATAAAATAAAACAGGGCCAAGAAAGCAGCCCTTGGCGAGTTTCTTCCCGGTTCATCTTGGAACAAGTTCTCCCGCCGTAGATTTACGAACCGATGGCATAGCTCTTGACTTTCATAAGTGCTTGTAACAGCTGTATTTGATTTGATTTCATTTGAACACATAATAGGTCAAATAAATATTATTTAAATAAAGTAGAGCTCAAAATCAACTGGTGAAATTTGACATGTGTACTTGTTCATACAGTATAAACCCACTATTAACCATCTTTTAGTGAAAATAATTTAATCTTATTAAAAATTACCATAATGAGAATTACTAACTTGCCTAAAAAGAGTTCAAATGTGTATTATTTTTTAAGTACAGATATTATTGTAAATATATCTTATTTATAATTTTCTAATATATCTTACTATTGGGAATCTGTATTTTGTATTAAAACTATCTCCTAAACACAATACTTTAAAATATGATGGAAAATATAATAATAAACAATTTATCGTTTTATTTATTATTATATCTTAAGTATCTGAGATAAGAAGTCAGTGCCTGTAAACCATCGAGAGGGCTTGTTTACTTGCAAAAAAAAGAACCCTTTTGTATTCAAATTTTAATAACAAAAGTAAAAAAGGCCCTCTCTTCCCTACTATTTATTATCAATAACAGATATCAATGTGAATACATATGTACTTTGTAGTAAAGTTGTCTTCTAAAAAAAAAATTTATAATTAATCATTATTTTTATTATTGTCATACATACTCTTTTTTTTTTAAGCAAATTGAATTTGTTAGTAGTCAGCACTTTGTATTATATGTAACCAAGCCTTTACATTCAACACATACTGAGAACCACCGAAGTTCACAGAAGTTTACCTATAGTATCCACACACCCAAAAATAGACATGATTTAATATCATAACTTAATTTCTAGGGTTTAAAAAAACACCTTGGATCCAAATTGTAATAACAAAAGTAAAAAGACATAAAACTAACAACTTTATAGGTATTATTATTATCAAATCTTCATATATTAAATTACATCTATATATATAATAGGGAAAGGTCACTCAATTGTTTCATGAAATCTCAGAAACTGCAAATGCTAGGAGTTTCAAATTTTGCATGTACTAAAAAGAATTTTAGGGCATAAGCGCTAAGACAGGAATTTTTGAAATTCAACCCCTAAGGGGGTAAATTTGGGGATAAAAGTTTGATGAAACTTTGTTACTAGAAGTGCTAAAATTTCAAATTTTGCATGCAGGTAAGTACCTGTTTCAGCCAGGTAAGTACCTGCATGCAAAATTTGAAATTTTAGCACTTCTAGTAACAAAGTTTCATCAAACTTTCATCCCCAAATTTACCCCCTTAGGGGGTGAATTTCAAAAATTCCTGTCTTAGTGAGTGCTTATGTCCTAAAATTCTTTTTAGTACATGCAAAATTTGAAACTCCTAGTATTTGCAGTTTCTGAGATCTAAGAAGTCTTAGGGAGTAAATTATGGGTTGAAAGTTTGTGTGAAACTTCATTACTACAAGTGATAGGAGTTTCAAATTTTCCATGAGGGCTCTTTTTAGTACCTATGTTCAGCAGTTGCACTAAGGTTCACTAAGATGGGATTTTGTGAAATTCAACCCCTAATGGGGTAAATTATGGGTTGAAAGTTTGTGTGAAACTTCATTACTACAAGTGATAGGAGTTTAAAATTTTGCATGAGGGCTCTTTTTAGTACCTTTGTTCAGCAGTTGCACTAAGGTTGTCAACTTTAGCTTATGCATAAAAAACTATCATTGTTGTGGCACTTGTGAGTTCTAGTGGTTTGATTTATTGTTGAGAATGAAACAGACAGAAAAAATATATATAAAACTAATAATGATTAAAATATTTTGTTTGTGATGTTATTTTTTTACAGATAATCAAACCATTAAATGACAAAAAAAATATGGATTCAGGTGTAAAACAGATTTTTAGATATACTTCTTATATATAAAATAAAAACAGTTGTCTACACCCCTATTGCATTGTCAGTGAGTTGCAATTGCATTCAAGAGTAAAGGAGCTGGAGGAGGCCTATGCCAAAAGACACAGACCTAAGAGATCTGAGATTAGCAAACAAATAATACTGTAACAAACAGTAATAAAGATTAAAACAAATATTTCAGCACAAATATATTATTTTGCCTGAAAAAAAATTTAAAATCATTTTAAAGATTATAAACAAAGATATAGAAATATTTTTGATTATAAAATACCATGGGTTTAGGTTAGGTGACAATATAATTCTAGTAAGATTATAAACTAATAAATACACTTTTCTATTGACAATTAAGAGCTTTCATTCTATAACATTTGATACATAACTTCTGTTTAGATTTATTTTTTTTTACTTTCAAATCATAATAAGAAAAATATTATTTGATTACATGTAATTTCCATAATTGTTAAATAATCACAATTATTATAAACTCACCATCTTTCAGTAGTTGTCGCATCTCTTTAGTTCTTTGGAAGTTGATTTCTTCGAGCAGCTGTTCCAACATCGTCGCACTCTTAAGGAACGTAGACCCACCGAGAGACATTTTTCAAATTAAAAAACAATTCCCCGCGATTTTGCCGAAGTAAACACAATTAACAATATTTATTTTATTCTATGTAGTGTCAGACAACGATCAACGACGACAAGAAATTAATTTGCTTTCGAGACACATGTCATTCAATTGGGAATTGTATTTCTGACAATATACATGACTCGTTAAACATAAAATCTATAAATCGAAACACAGAAAAGATTTCAAACAGAAACTTGCATTCATTTAGTTTTTTTGTGCACTGTATTATTTTTCTCTTTGGTTTTTTTTTGTAATATTTTTGGCTTGGACGCATAGTCCTTTAAGCCACAACTTTTTTTTTACACTTTATTCGGTTTTTTCTCTTTGGTTTTCACTTTCCTCCACAGACCACCATCTATCATCATATACAAAGTGCCATCCACATGGTAGGTGGTCGGAGGTCCAACCACCTACCATCCAATGCAGAGGTACCCAAACAATTTTTTCTCGTAGACCATTTAAAAAAAATCCTGGTTTCGGTGGATCCTCTGCTGCAACATTTTTATCATATTCCTAGATAAGTTCCTTGCTTGACTCAAGACCATTCACGTCTCTTCATATTATCAAGTCAATAGTCAACCATGACATCGGCCTATTTTCTTATATGATATCGAAGAAAAAATTAATGGCTGATGAAAACAGATAATGGCTGTATGAGCTAATCTCCCTTCGCCTTTCCTTTACGGAAAAGAAATCAAATGAATGTAAATCATAGAGATAATGTAGAGTGGAAATATTTTCTATGGTTATATAAATATCATGCAATCTGAAGTTGACATCGAAAACATCATATTGTCTTTTTTTAACTAATAAGAAGTTTCTTTAGTAAACAAAGATCGCACTAGTGTGACAGTTCAAAATTTTTTACGTGACGTCATGACATATAGCTATCGTACCACCTGTCCGCCATTTGCAAAGTTGCAATGCGTATTCTCAGAAGTAGTTCTGCTGTCAGTGTTATAAGTTTTGTGGTTATTTTCATTTATAACTTTAATTTATAAAACTTTCATGGCAAAATTTGTAAATTATTTATGCAAAACAATGCCTAGGTGTAGTGTAATTGGTTGTGCGTCATCGATATCCCGCAAACCGAGCAATATTACGTTTCACCGGTAAGTTAAACACTTTCTTAGAAAAACAGTATTTAAAACGTAAGTAAGTTATTCTGAAAATGATTGCGTGTATAAATCGATACATATCGTATTTTGGCGTGTTCTATTTATGTTATATTGCTCTTTTCGTTTGTCACCGACGTAGCAGGCCACATATCTAATCTATGGTTGTATTATATTTAAATAATAAAAGAAAGAATAAATGAGTTCCCAACAAAGTGGTGACACCACTTTGTTGGGAACTCATTTATTCTTTTTTTATTATTTAAATATAATACAACCATAGATTAGATATGTGGCCTGCTACGTCGGTGACATGGTCGCTTGCGCACCATATGCGGCCGTTTACTTATGTGGGCGTCGACTACTTTGGCCCCATCACAGTCACGGTGGGACGGCACACAGAAAAAAGATATGTTGCCCTATTTACCTGTCTGACTATACGTGCCGTCCACTTAGAAGTAGTTGGAAACCTAAGTGCCGATGCCGCAATAATGGCACTAAGGAGATTTATTGCGCGACGAGGAACACCGGCCTCACTTTTTAGCGACAACGGCACGGCCTTCGTTGGAGCAAGCAGGGAGTTGGAGATCCTGTTCGCAAAGCCAGTTCTCGAATTCGCCACCAACTTAAAAATCAAATGGAAGTTCATTCCCCCCTCGGCTCCTTTCATGGGAGGATGCTGGGAGCGCTTGGTAGTTAACTAAACTCTCCGCTTCCAACAGGAAGGTATTGAGGACTTCCTCCGAAGGAGAGTGTTGCGTCAGGGTTACCGAGAGAGCGGTCTTGATGCTTCGTACCAAGCGCTCCCAGCATCCTCCCATGAAAGGAGCCGAGGGGGGAATGAACTTCCATTTGATTTTTAAGTTGGTGGCGAATTCGAGAACTGGCTTTGCGAACAGGGTCTCCAACTCCCTGCTTGCTCCAACGAAGGCCGTGCCGTTGTCGCTAAAAAGTGAGGCCGGTGTTCCTCGTCGCGCAATAAATCTCCTTAGTGCCATTATTGCGGCATCGGCACTTAGGTTTCCAACTACTTCTAAGTGGACGGCACGTATAGTCAGACAGGTAAATAGGGCAACATATCTTTTTTCTGTGTGCCGTCCCACCGTGACTGTGATGGGGCCAAAGTAGTCGACGCCCACATAAGTAAACGGCCGCATATGGTGCGCAAGTCTCTCTGGGGGAAGATCTCCGACAGGGGGAATTGATACTGTGGCCCTACGGATGCGGCAATATAGACATGAAGAAGCCACACTTTTCACTGCTGGTCTCAAGCCGATGATATAGTATCGCTGCCGTAGTTCATTAACAACCAGCTCGTTACTTGAATGGGCTGCGCGTTCGTGGTAGTATGCGATTAACAGTCTGATAATTCGGTCCTTTCCGTCAAGCACGATAGGGTTCTTGGACAACATAGGCACGTCCTTCACTGCTGCAATCCGACCAGACAGACAAAGAAGTTTGCTCTCGCCGTCTACCATCAAAGTTAGTCTACTTAGACGGCCATGTCTGGCTGGGGGCTCGCCCCGATGGGTTAAATTGTAATCCTCTCGTAAGGTCGATAGTTGGGATTGAAGTAAAAGGAATTCTTCTGCTCGGCTTATGTCTTCTGCGGTAGGTTCTCGGCGCCCTGACGCATAATTTAGTAATTTAGAAGTAGGGTCTAAAAGCGCCGCCTTGAAAATTCTGGCGCAAACAAAAACACGAGCAGTAGCTCTAAGCAAACGGATCCATCGGCTGAATCGAGTGGTGTCTGGGACCACTGGGTAAGGCAATTCGCGTGCAGTTGTTACAGTTACTACTTCCACAGGAGGTCGTTTCATTTCCTCGAAAACTAGTGGAATCTCGTTAAATGACTCGGTTGGCCACTCGTACTCGGGACAAGCAAGAAAAGAAGGGCCAGAAAACCATCGAGATGAAATTTCGAATTTTGACGTGACTCTGGTAGCGTCGTCCGCCACGTTCAGTGCCGTTGGCACGTGCCGCCAATTAGATATGTTGGTAATCTCAGCGATCTCACCAATGCGATGCGCAACGAACGGCTTGAACGTGCGGGCGTCGCTACGCAACCACCTCAAAACGGTGAGGCTATCGGACCATAAGGTCACTCTTGAAATCGTGTAAAGCCGGTGAGCCTCTGTAATGTATGCCGCGAAACGTGCTGCGATAAGAGCAGCTTGGAGTTCAAGTCTCGGAATTGACTGCGGTTTCAGAGGCGCAAGCCGAGCCTTACCACCTATGAGGCTGAGCCTCACGCTTCCGTCAGTGCACTCGAAACGCCAATAGGCTACGCAGGCATATGCGAGCTCACTTGCGGCTTTACACGATTTCAAGAGTGACCTTATGGTCCGATAGCCTCACCGTTTTGAGGTGGTTGCGTAGCGACGCCCGCACGTTCAAGCCGTTCGTTGCGCATCGCATTGGTGAGATCGCTGAGATTACCAACATATCTAATTGGCGGCACGTGCCAACGGCACTGAACGTGGCGGACGACGCTACCAGAGTCACGTCAAAATTCGAAATTTCATCTCGATGGTTTTCTGGCCCTTCTTTTCTTGCTTGTCCCGAGTACGAGTGGCCAACCGAGTCATTTAACGAGATTCCACTAGTTTTCGAGGAAATGAAACGACCTCCTGTGGAAGTAGTAACTGTAACAACTGCACGCGAATTGCCTTACCCAGTGGTCCCAGACACCACTCGATTCAGCCGATGGATCCGTTTGCTTAGAGCTACTGCTCGTGTTTTTGTTTGCGCCAGAATTTTCAAGGCGGCGCTTTTAGACCCTACTTCTAAATTACTAAATTATGCGTCAGGGCGCCGAGAACCTACCGCAGAAGACATAAGCTGAGCAGAAGAATTCCTTTTACTTCAATCCCAACTATCGACCTTACGAGAGGATTACAATTTAACCCATCGGGGCGAGCCCCCAGCCAGACATGGCCGTCTAAGTAGACTAACTTTGATGGTAGACGGCGAGAGCAAACTTCTTTGTCTGTCTGGTCGGATTGCAGCAGTGAAGGACGTGCCTATGTTGTCCAAGAACCCTATCGTGCTTGACGGGAAGGACCGAATTATCAGACTGTTAATCGCATACTACCACGAACGCGCAGCCCATTCAAGTAACGAGCTGGTTGTTAATGAACTACGGCAGCGATACTATATCATCGGCTTGAGACCAGCAGTGAAAAGTGTGGCTTCTTCATGTCTATATTGCCGCATCCGTAGGGCCACAGTATCAATTCCCCCTGTCGGAGATCTTCCCCCAGAGAGACTTGCGCACCATATGCGGCCGTTTACTTATGTGGGCGTCGACTACTTTGGCCCCATCACAGTCACGGTGGGACGGCACACAGAAAAAAGATATGTTGCCCTATTTACCTGTCTGACTATACGTGCCGTCCACTTAGAAGTAGTTGGAAACCTAAGTGCCGATGCCGCAATAATGGCACTAAGGAGATTTATTGCGCGACGAGGAACACCGGCCTCACTTTTTAGCGACAACGGCACGGCCTTCGTTGGAGCAAGCAGGGAGTTGGAGATCCTGTTCGCAAAGCCAGTTCTCGAATTCGCCACCAACTTAAAAATCAAATGGAAGTTCATTCCCCCCTCGGCTCCTTTCATGGGAGGATGCTGGGAGCGCTTGGTACGAAGCATCAAGACCGCTCTCTCGGTAACCCTGACGCAACACTCTCCTTCGGAGGAAGTCCTCAATACCTTCCTGTTGGAAGCGGAGAGCTTAGTTAACTCGCGTCCTCTTACCCATGTTAGTGTCGACCCTGATGATGAAGAGTCTATTACACCTTTTCATTTTTTACTCGGCTCTTCTTCACCTTACTCAGCGTTAGCTCAGGTGGACGACGCTGACATGATTCGCCGTGTAAAATGGAAACGAGGATTGCGCTTGGCGGATCATTTTTGGTCACGTTGGACTCGTGAATATCTTCCGGCATTAATACCTCGCAGCATCTCCGCTTCCGCCAGGAATATTGAGGTCAAAGATAATGTACTAATAGTAGACGGTAACCTCCCACGTGGAGTCTGGCCACGGGGGCGGGTTACCCGAACGTTTCCGGGCAAGGACGGCGTAGTCCGAGTAGTAGAAGTGGCCAC